TTAATTTTAATTCCCATTCTCACTCCTTTTTCCTCCCCTCCTCCCTTCCCTGATTCTTCTTCCTCTACTTCACTAAACTTCCTTTCTTCTACATATACATAAAGTTGAAATTCCTTTTGGTACCTTTTTATGTAAATATAACATGATTTTGTTAAATTCTTTCCATTTTTCTTCTCCTTTCCCTTCCTTCCTCCCTCACTCCTGGTCTCCTTCTACTCCACTGATCTTCCCTATATATTTATGATTTCCAATCCCCTCCGCCACCAACTCTTTCCCTTATTTTGCTCTAGCTTTCACATATGAGAGAAAGCAATTTTCTGAGTTTGCTTTACTTCACTCAGCATGATTTTCTCCATTTCCATCCATTTACCAGAAAATGCCATTATTTCATTATTCTTTTTTAATTATTTATTTATTCTAATTTGTTATACATGATGGCAGAATGCAATATTCATTTCATATTACACATGTAGAGAACAATTTTTCAAAGTATTTTCACACCATTCGTGTCTTTATACATGTACTTAGGGTAATGATTAACTCATTCCAACATCATTTCTACTCCCTGACCCGCTCCCTACCCCTCCCTCCCCTTTGCCCTATCTAAAGTTTCTCCATTCCTCCCATGCTCCCCCACCATCGCCATTATGAATCAGCATCCTCATATCAAAGAAAACTTTCGGCCATTTACCTGAAAATGCCATGATTTTATTCTCTTTAAATGCTGAATCACGTTCTATTGTGTATATATACCAAAGTGTTCCTATCCATTCATCTACTGAAAGGCATCTGGGTTAGTTGCACAATTTAGTTATTGTGAATTGTGCTGCTATAAACATCTATATGGCTGTGTCCCTGTAGTATGCTGTTTTTAAGTCCTTTGGGTATAAACCAAGGAGTGGGATAGCTGGGTCAAATGGTGGTTCCATTCCAAGTTTTCCAAAGAATCTGCATACTGCTTTCCAGATTGGCTGCAGTTCCACTAGCAATGTATAAGTGTACTTTCACCCCACATCCTTGCGAACGCTTATTGTTTGTATTCTTGATAGCTGCCATTCTGACTGGAGTGACATGAAATCTTAGAGTAGTTTTGATTTACATGTCTCTAATTGCTAGACATGTTGAACATTTTTTCATGTTTGTTGATTGATTGTATATCCTTTTCTGAGAAGTGTCTATTCAGTTCCTTGGCCCATTTGTTGATTGGGTTATTTGGGTTTTTTTGTTTGTTTGTTTGTTTGTTTTGGTTTTAAGGTTTTTGAGTGCTTTATATATGCTAGAGATTAGTGCTCCATCTGATGTGCTTGTGGTAAAGATTTGCTCTCATTCTGTAGGCTCTCTATTCACTTCATTGATTATTTCTTTTGCTGAGAAGAAGCTTTTTAGTTTGAATTCATCCTATTTATTGATTCTTGGCTTTAATTCTTGTGCTATAAGTCTTATTAAGAAAGTTGGGACCTAATCCAACATGATGGAGATTTGGGCCTACTTTTTCTTCCATTAGGCGCAAGGTCTCTGGTTTAATTTCTAGGTCCTTGATCCACAAGACCTTTAAAGAAGAACTAACACCAATACTTCTCAAACTATTTCATGAAATAGAAAAAGAGAGAACACTTTCAAACACATTCTATGAGGCCAATATCACCCTGATTCCAAAACCAGACAAAGACACATCAAAGAATGAAAATTTTGGTCCAATATCTCTAATGAATATAGATGCAAAAATTCTCAATAAAATTCTGGCAAATCGAATACAAAAACATATCAAAAAGATAGTGTACATGATCAAGTAGGGTTCATTCCAGGGATGCAAGGTTGGTTCAACATACGGAAGTCAATAAATGTAACCTATCACATCAATAGACTCAAAGATAAAAATCATATGATCATCTCAACAGATGCAGAGAAAGCATTTGATAAAATACAGCATCCCTTCATTTTCAAAACGCTAGAAAAACTAGGGAAAACAGGAACATACCTCAATGTTGTAAAGGCTATCTATGCTAAGCCCCAGTCCAATATAATTCTAAATGAAGAAAAATTGAAAGAATTCCCTCTAAAAACTGGAACAAGACAATGATACACTCTTTCACCATTTTTATTCAACATAGTTCTTGAAACTCTAGCCAGAGCAACCAGACAGACAAAAGAAATTAAAGGGATACATATGGATAGGAAAAGAATTCAAATTATCACTATTTGCTGACAATATGATTCTATACCTATAAGACCCAAATCATTTCATCAGAAATATCCTAGAACTAATAAGTGAATTCAGAAAAGTAGCTGGATGTAAAATCAACATCCATAAATCAAAGGTATTTCTGTACATCAGTGACAAAATCCACTGAAAGAGAGAGTAGGAAAACCACCCCATTTTCAATAGCTTCAAAAATAAAATAAAGTACTTGGGAATAAATTTAACAAAAGATGTAAAAGACCTTTACAATGAAAACTACAACACACTGAAGAAAGAAATTAAAGAAGACTTTATAAGATGGAAAGATCTACCTTTGGATAGGCAAAATTAATATTGTAAAAATGACCCTACTACCAAAAGCACTATATAGATTCAATGCAATCCCAATCAAAATCCCAATGACATTCCTTATAGAAATAGAAAAAGAAATCATGAAATTCATCTGGAAAAATAAGAGATCCAAAGCAGCCAAAGAAATCCTTGGCAAGAAGAGCAAAGTTGGTGGCATTACTATACCAAAGCTTAAACTACACTACAGAGCAATAATAACAAAATCAGCATGGTATTGGCACCAAAATAGACTGGTAAACCAATGGTACAGAATAGAGGACACAGAGTCTACCCACATAACTACAGTTATCTTATATTAGACAAAGGCACCAAAAATGTACATTGGAGAAAAGTTAACCTCTTCAACAAATGGTGCTGATAAAACTGGAAATCCTCAAATGTAATAACAAAATGAAATTAAACCTCTATTTCATTATTCTTTATGGTTGAGTAATAGTCTATTGTGTGTATATGCCACATTTTCTTTATCCATTTATCTTGAGGGACACCTAGGTTGATTCCATAGTTTGGCTATTATAAATTTTGCAGCTACAAACATTGTAGTGGCTGTAACACTATAGCATGCTAATTTTAGTTCTTTTGGATAAAATACCAAGGAGTGGGATAGTTGGGTCTTATTGTGGATATGACATTTTGAAGGAATCACCACATGCTTTCCAGAGTGGTTGCGGTAATTTGCAGTTCCACCAACAATGTACGAGTGTACTTTTTTCCCACATCCTTACCAGCATTTATTATTACTTGTGCTCTTGATAATTGCCATTCTGACTGGAATGAAATGAAATCTTAGTGTAATTTAGATTTGCATTTCCCCTGATTTCTAGAGATATTGAACATTTTTTCAATATATTTCTTGGCCATTTGTGTATCTTCCTTTGAGATGTTTCTGTTTACTTCTTTTGCCCATTTATTGATTGGGCTATTCGTGGGATTTTTTGGTATTGACTTTTTTTTTTAGTTCTTTATGTATTCTGGATATCAATGCCCTATCAGAGAAACAGCACACAAAGATTTTCTCTCATTCTTTAGGCTCTTTTTCATTCTCTTAATCATTTCCTTTGCTATGCAGACAATTTTTAATTTGATCACATCCCAATTACTAATTCTTGGTTTCATTTCCTGAGCTTTAGGGGTCTTGTTGAAGAAGTTGGTGCCAAGCCCCATGTGATGGAATGTCAATCCTATGTTTTCTTCTAGCACTTGTAAGCTTTTTGGTCTAATGTCTAAGTCTTTGATCCATTTTGGTTTGACTTTGTTTAGGGTGAAAGACAGGGATCTAAATTCGTTCTTATAAATAAGGACATCCACTTTTATGAGCACCATTTATTTAAAAGGCTATCTTTCCTCACACATATATATATTTGGCACCTTTGTCAAGTATGTCAACTATCAGATTCCTGCAAGTACATGAATTTGTTTGTGTCTTCTCTTCTGTTTCAGTGGTCTTCATGTCTTTTTTGATGCCAATACCATGCTGTTTTTGCTAATATAGCTCTGTGGTATAACTTGAGATCAAGTATTGTGATGCATCTTGCATCACTTTTTTGTTCAGAATTGCTTTGGCTATTCTGGGTCTCTTCTAAATAAATCTTAGGACTGCTTTTTTCTACTTCTGTGAATAATGTCATTGTTATTTTAATGGGGATTGCATTGAATCTGTATATTGCCTTTCGTAGTTTGGCCATTTTAACAATATTAATTCTGCGTATCCAAGAACATGGAGGGTCTTTCCATCTTCTGAGGTCTTCCTCAGTTTCTTTCTTTGTGTTCTGTAGTTTTCATTGTAGAAATCTTGCACCTCCTTAATTAGATTAAGTTTGTTTTTGTTTGTTTGTTTTTCTTTTGGTACCGGAGATGGAACTCAGGGGCACTTGATCACTGAGCCACATTCCCAGTCCTATTTTGTATTTTATTTAGAATCAGAGTCTCACTGAGTTGTTTAGCGCCTCGATGTTACTGAGGCTGGCTTTCAACTCTTGATCCTCCTGCCTCAGCCTCCTCAGTTGCTGAGATTTTAGGTATGAGTCACCATAAATCTACAACTTTAAAGGTATTAATATAATTTCACAAAGGCACTTTTTTTTTCGTTCTCTTGTTGCCATAATCATGAGATAGAATTCTTCTAATAGAATGGATCTCAGATTTGATATTGGTCATCCACAGAAAAATAAGTTTTGTACAACATAAACGTTTTTTGCAAACTTGAGTGCAGCAATTGTTTTAAGTGATATAAATATCCATTTTTTTAGTTGTAGATGTACACAATACCTTTGTTTTATTTTTTTTATGTGTTGCTGAGAATGGAACCCAGTGCCTCTTACATGCCAGGCAAGCGCTCTACCACTGAGCCAAAATCCCAACCCCTAAATATCAATTTTATCCATATGAAAGAAGATCAATTTAAGAAATTGCTCATTGATGCTTGATGCTGGGTTTAAGAACCATTTGACTGTCTCTGCTGATAGACCTTGAACAATTTGCTGTTATTCTTTTGGTTTGAACTAGAATGCAAACAAAAATACTCCCTTCTCTTTCTGTCTGTCTTTGTTGTGGCACAGATTGAATTAGGGAATGATTCTATCTGTAGGCTAAAAAAAGAGAGAGAGAGAGAGCCATTTGATATAAAATGAGACCAAAGGAAATCAAAAGGAAGTTAAGCAGATTTTAAGTAGTGAGTTATGTCTTTCTGGGGGAGAAAAAATAAATTTTACTTCATGTGAATTGATAAATACTCAAAGGGGAAAAAAAAGCAGAAATGGGAAAGTTTGCTTCAACTTATTTCGTTTGCAAGAAGGCAGGGAAAACAGTGGATTTGCTAATGTACTACAATGCAAATAATGATAGCAACTTCGAAAGTATTTTCCTTTTCAAAATATCTTCCAGGTTTGATTTATTTCTCATGCCACCATTCTGAGATAAATGGGCATGTTGCAAGCCCCACAATCCATAAATGTGAATTTTCAAATGACTCACCCTATTCTTTCCCACAATAGATTTGAGAATCATTAAGTATTTCAAATATTCTTAAAGGACAACAAAATTTTCTATTTCACATCTGTCAGTAGCCTAGTATCCCCTGTAGAAAAGTGTGTGCATGCCAGAAGAAACCCAGCTCATGTAAATCAAGAGGAAAAAAAAACTAAACACAGACTATGGGGCAGCAAATTTGAATTCCAGAAAAGTCCTTCTGTGACATTTGTCCTCATTCTTAGTAGCAGCCCCTCCTTCATTATTTTTTAACATAACACTGTTTATTTTTTTTCGAAGCATTTATCCAGAAAACACTGTTTCTTCGGTTTGTTCCTTTGTCTGTCTTCCATGATCAGAATGTAAGATCCTCTGGTGTTGTGTTAGCATTGTTTTAACAACTATCTGACATGAATCAACTTTTAAAAGGAAAGGTTTATTTGGGCTCATGGTTTCAGAGGTTTTAGTCCACGGTCAGTAGGACTGCTGCTTTGGGGCCTGTAGCTACACAAAACATCACGTCGGGGAGCACAGGGAGCAAGCCGCTCACCTCAAGGCTAGAAGCAAAGGAGGCCATGTTCTCAGTCCCCTTCCAGAACATGCTCCCAATCGCCTACCCCCTCCCACTAGGCCCCACCTACCAAGGGTTCCACCACCTGCCAATAGCACTCAGCCAAGAACAAAGCTTTTAACACATAGGCCTTTAGGAATATTCTAGATCCAAATTATAGCAGGCAGTCTCACATTGTCAGAAGCCCAGCAATAGAACAATACCTAGAAATAAATTGCAAATAATAATAATAACAACAACAACAACAGTAACTTTTTCCTAAAAACATGGATAAGTTCCCATTTAACTCTTCAGGGTAGAAGGAGGTATTATTTACCTAAATAACTGGAATAATTCTTCAGAATGCTAGTTGTACCAACTGAGAAAGGAGTAGCCCCTGACTTCAGAATCTGGTCTGGCTCACGGGAATAGACCCTGTGATTCTCCCATTAGAAACAGACCATCCCAGGATACCCTCCCCCTACAAGGCTGCTCTGAAACCGGGATAAAATAAGACCAAGCAAGTCCACTTCATAATTTGTCTAAACACAGTTAAAAAAAAAAAAAAACAAGGTCACTGTTCCACCCACAAAATCTCTTGTCCCAAATGAGGACAAAATTGTGTCCTCTATCTAGCCTCCCCTTACTGTGGGTGAGAAGCATGGAGATACCTAATCTTAGACAGCCCTACTTTCTAGCAGTATCCAATCTGGAGTGAATTCCTGCGTCCTCAGACCTTCCCTCAATCCACCCCACCAGAGCTGACACCCTATAAAGGTTATTTCCCTTGATTCCCATGATGTAGGCTCTCCTCACCACAATGAGAAGCCAAAAGCAAACCAAACTTGTTCAACCACTGGGGTCATGCAAAAACAGCATGAGAAAAACTAAAGATGTTAAAACTTAGAATGGCTAAAAAATGCCAACTGCTGTTTTGTCTATTAGCAATTTATTTTATCGATAAAAGTAATAATAATAGCTAGCATCACTTGAGCTACTACATTGTGCCAGGGGCTATGCCATATCTCACTGAACCTCATAACATTATGAGGTAGAGTCTGTTTTCTTCTCCCACTTTACACATGGGGAAACTGAGACGTATTGGAGTAGCTTGTTCACGTTCACACAGCTAAATGGTGGAACCAGCTTCAAACCTAGCCATCATACTGACCGCTCTCCTGGTAACATACTGACTGATTTAAATTTTAAAGTACAGTATTCCCAGACTTTCTGAACAAAGACACTGTGTCTATGTGAAAGAAGCAATTTTCAAACACCAAGAAAAATAAGAAATTCAGCGTCTGCATGGACTATCCTGGAGGGCTCCAGGCCTCCTACACCAGAGTAACTCTTCCATTACTGCCTTTCAAAGCGGCTTAGTCCCAGGCACCCAATTTGCATCACAAAACCAGTTCTCAGTTGGTATATTTTTTAAAAGCTAAAAGAGGCTGTCTTTCTGACAACATAAGTACTTCTCTGCTCTAGAAAATGCAGGTTTTGTTCCTGCCCAAAGAAAGATCATCTTTTGAATGAAAGCCACAGACTATTTTTCCAGCTGTATGGTGAATGCTCTGCAGCCATCACCGAATGAATTGAATTGACAAAACATCTCTCTCTCTCTCTCTTTTCTGAACCAATAATAATGAGGAATGGTAATATCGCAAGATAAAACAGGGCAGAAAGCGGCAGGATATGGGCCCTGAAAGAAATCAAAGGAAGTGTCAACAAGGTAATATCCTCTCAAAACGTGATTCCATTCCTTCCGTCACTTTGGAGGAATGTCTGCGGGATCCCATTGAAGTTGAATTATTACTCTCGAAAGCCAACACCGGTGAGTCTCTGATTCGATTTATGAGGACATTTCTGCAGCATTTGGCCCATGTGTAACAAAAAAAAGAAGAAAGAAGGAAGGAAGGAAGGAAGGAAGGAAGGAAGGAAGGAAGGAAGGAAGGAAGGAAGGAAGGAAGGAAGGAAAGGAGCAAAAAACAGACAGCCATTAGGCTCTTTTGCATATCATCATCTTATGGGGTAAAGGTATGTGTTCACCACACATCAGAGAAAGGAGGCCAGAGCCACACTGCAGGGACATGCTTTCCTGTTTGGACCTGACATGATTGTCCTAAGAAAGATGGATTCCCAAAACAAGAGGACTGAAGAAAAAACGGAAATAGCCAGATGAGAGACTTAGAGGAAGATGCAGAGAACCCGTCAGTATTCTTCCATTTACAGGGAAAGCACCTCTCTTTACAAGCCATTTACTTTTCTCCATTAAAAAAGAAATAAAGTTTAACCTATGAACTGGGATGCAGCAATCATTACAAAGAATCCACTAATCCATGTGCATATTTACCGTCAACTACGAATATAAAAACATTATTATATGAGGAATCAACAACATTATAAAGGGGCCCTTTCCTCGTAAAAGGTTGGGAACCACAGGTCGAAACCATATTTCCTCATCTACTATGAACGACTTCTCATGCAAAGCAAAACTCAACAGCTTACTAAAGTCGACCTGTGTTAAGCTGCAGTTTAATTTCTCCAAAACTGTGACTCTCTAAGGGATTTGTAGGTCACTGAGATATGGAAAAATAAATTGTAATAAAACAGTAACAATTAAATTCAGTACAGATAAGGACCATGAGACCCTTAAGTAAAAAAGTCATTTACTGAGTACTTTTTAAATATGATTCGTAATACCATCATGTCCCAAAGGTATTCCTGTGTTTATAATCCTATTTACTGTCCCTGGTACGAGTGCTTTCATTCTCATTCATTAATTCTCTGTAGAATGCATCATTTTGATGGCTCTCTTAAAGCAGCAGGAGACAACGAAGACTCTGAAATTATGTGCCTTCGTGCCTCATTATAATACTAAGATGACAGAAAATATCAAACTACTCCTACGGTTTATTCTAAACTGTCTAAAATTATGTGATTCTGAGTGTTTCATGCATTAGTTACTCTCTTATCTCTTATTTTATTTTCTTAAATTTTTCTTCCAAAAATCAGACCCATGATTCCTAGAAACTACAGAGACTCCTTGGGATCTCTATTAAAGAACTGGCAAGAGGAAATGCGCTACAGCACAGTGATCGCTCCAGGTGAGGAGAGTAGAAGTCTTCCTTTTTACAATAAGTGTATGTTCTCATAATGAAAAAATATACATAAACAAAATGCAGAAATAATAATTCTACCTTTTCCCATGATAACTTGCACACATTACAGAACTCACTAACTTCCTTGTGAGACATTCTGATTGCATAGTTTGTACTCGGTGCTTATTAAAAAGCATTTGCAATAACATTTGATAAAGACAAAAATCCTATGTCTGTTCCTTGTTCACATAGATCACAGGGGTAACTGATCCTTCCACATGTCTTCCTCTTTGCTCTCCACAATCAATAAGGGTGGGATTTGCCTTTTTATTTGTCTTTTTATTTGTCTCATATCCTTCCTTCACCATCAGGAAACAGGAGTCAGCTTCTTAACAGAGGAGGGACCCTGAACCTGCAAACGAATGACCTCCAGATTTGGTTGTCTTTCCTTTCTTTTTCTTTTTCTTTTCTTTTTTTTTTTTTTTTGTTTTGTTTTGGTACCAGGGATTAAACCTAGGGGAGCTTAACCATCAAGCCACATCCCCAGTATTTTATTAGAGATAGAGTCTTGCTGAGTTGCTTAGGGTCTTGCTAAGTTGCTGAGACTGGCTTTCAACTTGTGATCCTCCTGCCTCAGCCTCCTAAGTCACTAGGATTATAGGCACTCACCACCACACTGAGTCAAATTTGGTTCTCAATTGGCAAAATGAACCTAGGAAGTTCTCTCTCTCTCTCTTGCCCAGGCCTATTTACTAAACCTCTTGGTTGTACTTTGGACATGGAAGGCTTCAGGGCAATTGTTTTTTATTTGTTCTTTTTAGTTATATATGACAGTAGAGTGTATTTTGACATGTCATACATATATAGAGTATAATTTCCCATTCTTGTGGTTGTATATGATGTGGAGTTTCACTGGTCGTGTATTATGCAAGTAGGAAACTTATGTTCAACTCATTCTACTGTC